GACGTGACATGTTCGTACGAACCCTTTGTACGAACAAAAGTAAGAGAAATTTAGGATAAGAATACGAACATGTTCTTGCATGAGGCCCAATGTCTGACATCAGAGTTTTTAACTCCAGGACCAGTGTCGAATCTTAAACTTGTTTTAAATTTAAGTGGCAGTTTTGTGGAAGAACATGGAAAGAGTTGCTCCCCTTGTTTACAGAGGAACTGATTCCACAGTGATTTTAATGGATTTGGTTCAAAGTTCAATAAAAGTGACCTCCAAAATTTAATGGATTCATAAATGGTAAAGGGATTGAATTTATATAGCACTTTATCAAGTCCCTCCAGATCCCAAAGCGCTTTACATTTACAGTCACTCACCCATTCACACACACATTCATTCACACACTGATGGTGGTAAGCTACATTGTAGCCACAGCTGCCCTGGGGCACACTGACAGAGGTGACACAACAACTGAGACAGCTGGACCRRGGGATCGAACCGGCGACCTTCCAATTCAGGCTAGATTTTAATATCTGAAAATTGTTTGATTATTCCTCTTTAAAATGACATTAAAAATTCCTCACTAGAACAACATGAAAATATGATAAAAACTAGATACGAATGAGTTATCCTGAAATATCTGGAACTGCTCACGATATCAGGATCATCAAAACATTGTTTAAAAAGCTATATTTCAAAAAAGGGCTTAGATCATTTTGAGCAAATTTGACTTGATCGACTTTATTTGATGTTGTGGATTCATTCTGGACTGAGTGATTTATTATTTCTCTTGTTCACATTTTTAAAGTTTAAATGATATTTCTGCAGCTAAATAAACACAGATGCAAATTAACCTAGGAAATTAGTTTTTTTTTTCATTTAAGGGGTGCTGACAAAAAACTATATTTGGACAGAAATTAATCAACTTAAAACCAACAAAATCAAATTAGGTGTAGAAAGTGTCTACAAGAGATGATGTTTTTAGTCCGCTAACAATTAGATTTAAGTTGGGTAAAAAGCTTATAGGTACAAAACAAAGCCTCACTTTTTATTCCTATGGACAACAGAGGCCTGCAGCAGGGAAACAGTGAATAAAATAATTTATATCGTTAATTCTCTTCCAGCCAATGGCACCAGTAATCTCACAGCACCAAGTTAAAACCATCAATCAGATTCTCAGATTTCAGCTCATGTGAGATGCTCTCACACTGATCCGATTACCAGACCAGGTTGTAAAATCTCATTCAATTATAGTGTTTGATTTAAAGTAATAAATATAAAACCTGGACGTTTTGAAGTACCCGTTTGCTGTGGTTCAAACAACAATAAGTGCGTGACATGAAGRAGAGCTGGCGTTACTCACCGGACGGTCTGATCGTATAACCATCCGGCCGAGCAGCTGGAAAACCCGTCATGGTAGGCCGCCCACATCTGAGCCGGCGTCGCAATCTGAGCCGAGTTCTCCACGCAGGCCCGCTGGGCCTCGTCGAATGAGAGGGCATAATGAGCGTTGGGGGCCTGCAGGTGAAACACCACCCCTACACACACAAAGACAAGTGGAGGCATCCAACAGCTGAGTTGAGCTCTATTTAGGAATTTGATGAAATTTCCCAAAAAGGCACACAAAAAATAATCACTTATATTCAGCCCAAACACTTTAATTAACATAATTACACAATTATTTAAGTGCAAAACAAGAAAATAAAAAAACAACATGCACTGAGCGCATTAAGGTACATTAATTAACCAGTCAGCTTGATGTTTATGTAATAATGTTTAATTAAATGCAGCTAAAAGGGGGCTGGCTAGGCTTTAAAAGCTGCCATTAGATGCTGTATATTTTCACATCCAAACAAAAGGCAACTAAAATGAATTCATTAACCAAGAAGAATATTTTTTACAGCCTTTTGTGTAAATGCAGCATTAGCTTAATTGTTTTCTCTCGTTAAGAGCCTGCTGCACTTACCGGAGACCACCAGGGGCACGGTGTCTCGCTCGTAGTGGTTGCCCATGACCACCTGACAGTGGTAAGTGCCTGAGTCGTCGGTGCGGAGACCGGAGATCTCCATGGTGGCATTCAGAGGGTTGGCAGAGTATCCTGGCAGCGAGACGCGGCCGCCGAAAGCCTTATTCACCTTGATTACATCACCTTTGGCACAGACAGAGAGCTTTCTTCAGGACAAATGTCTGCTGGCTTTCTGCAGGAYGCAAACTTTATCACATTCCAATAAAATATATAAATAAACATCAGCTTGATTTATTTATTTTCAGTGGTTTGTTTCCATAATAGACAGCTGTGGAAAGTAACAAGTGAATTGTATTATATATATG